GTGGATCCAAAGGCGTCTGGATAACGCGATGTGTGCTCTCGTTACCTCTTGGTCTCTACATGCATTGCGGGTGCTGTGCTCAAATTAGGGAACCAAACCTGCCAATTCCGGGCGAAGCCTTCCCAAGCCACACAGATGATTCGCAGGTGTTCGATGGAGGTCTACAAAGTGTCCGTTAACGAAGATTTTGTCCGTCCTGGCTACAGACGCCCGAGTCGTCGTCACTATAGAACAGTCGTCGAAGCAGGCACTCGTCGTCCATTCTTACGGCGTGGCAAACCCAACACAGTTATACCTTCCTCAGCATGGTCTGGATACTGAGAGAGACGGTTCTTTTAAGGATCTTCGTGTACGACACTCTTCCCTGCCACTTCAACGTTAGTATCCACCAGAGGCAGTTGGGTTGAAAGTGACTTAGTTTCATTGCTTGCATTTGGAAACCGTCCATTCCTTTGTCTCGTAGAATAGCGATTTTAGGATGGCGTCTCAGTTGCGAAACATCTTGTTTCGTAACCGCACCTTTTAGGGGTTAGAGTTATGGCTAGGGGTTAGTGTTAGGAGTTAGGGTTAGTTTTAGGGGTTGGAGTTAGGGGTAAGGTTTAGGGGTACGTCTCCATTTTCATGTTCGAGCGAAAATCGAGACGATTTCAAACGAGGGGCTGAAACCGGCGGAATATCTGACTGGCTATGGAGGTTCGACTGCAGATTCCATCGTCGATCCCGATGTAATCCAAGCTTCCCGGAGTGGTTTTTTCCTTGTCCACCACCTGATGTTTTGCAGCTGGGCATCTGGCGTACAGACTGTCGAAGTCTGTGCTGGCTTCCATTTAAAAGAATATGTTGAGAGCTACGCCTCTGAGACCCTCGGCCCGATGCCCCACCATTTGTGGTTTTTTTCCAGGAGGGCAGGAGTGGAGTCGCACTGGTTTGGAACTGCAGATCTGTCAAGTTAGAAGGGCCGATAAGTTGAAGAATGTTGTCTCGACAACAACGTGTTGTCGAAGTGTGCTTCATGCAAACTTGACGAGTCCCAAATCGGAAGACAGGGAAGACACCCAGATGCACACTGCTTAGTGAGGCGATTTTGTAGAAATACAGCTGAGAGTCCTTATGAGGCAAGCGTGTGTGTGTGCGGCGTTGAGGTTGTTGAGCTCCGGCACTGAATTCATATGGCATTGTCTGGCCAGCTAGATGGAGTGAGGAGAGAGTGTTGTAGATGCTGTGCAAGTCAACTAATTCATGCAGAAGTCACTGTCCCTGCTCAAACACCATATGCGTCAAACGCATATGCCTTGTCTGAGCGGCGTGCGTCGGTGGCCAATCAGCGAAGGAGGCGTTGTGATTGGCTCCAAGCCCTCGCACGCGGCTGACTGGTCGTAAGCAGCTGCAGTGCGATTGGACAGGAAGCTTTAGTCAACGAGAGCAGCTACATGAGTAAGTAGACGCGTTGGCGATCGCGGGGGCAGACGCCCACAGACTTCCCAGATAGAGGCGGCGGCGCACCTTGATGCTGCTGCCACGAATCACATCCAGCATCGGTTCCTAACGTCATGGTCTCCAGTACCAAGCAAATCGGCACTAGTGCTGATCGTTACAAATGCAAGGAAATGGGAGCTCGGCAGGCAAGAGACCCCCTCGATTACAAGTAGGGAATCCATCTACAAGATCCGATTATTATTCTACTAGTAGGTGAAAGAGTGACAGAAGATGGAGAAACGCTGAATCCCTACCTTGATGCCGGACAGAGTTTCCGTGAGACACTTCATGCGTTCATCCTTCCAGACCATTTCTTTTGCCTAAAAAGACCACAAGGAAGGCCACACTTATCCCTCCAACAGTACTGTAAAACTTTCCACCTGGTAGATTTAGGCAATTAATAAGCATTGAAGGCGATAAAATAAAGTAACTCAATGCAATGAAAGAGATGACTGGAGCTCTGCGCATCTATCACTTGCCAATAACAAAGTCCTACCTCAAACTTCCTGGTCAGCCATACTACAATGGCATTGAGCGGAAAGAATAGCATCATAACAGCGAGACCCGCGAGCATGGAAACGCCCAACTGTGCCCAGAGCATGCTGACGGCGATGGTGAACTGGATCAGAGCGGTCCACGTGACGTGAATGTAGGCTGGCGAGAAAAGTCAGAATAATTAGGTGGCATAAGCGGGGAGATAGTGGGGGCAATGTGGGTTGGTGGGGTGACTTATATTGACTGGTCCCGCGAAAAAAGTGCTGGATTGGAACTGCTCACTTGACGATACTATTTGGTTTCATTGTTGACGGGTTCTGGAAGTCATCTGGCTGCATGTTCGTAGCAGCTAACGTTGCAAATGAAGGTGTATGGGCCTTCGAAATGTCAGTTCGACTGCCTCCGTGTCCTATCTCGTCCCCATCAACCTGAGAAGGTAGTGTATTTAGACAAGCCAGACAACTATTCAATCGACCGAAAGCTTTGTGCGATGGCTCTCAAAGTCAATAACATCAGCTTTGAATGCGCGGAGCAGGAAGGTGTGTTAAATTGCCTGGTTGTTACATTAAAGTGAACAACGTTCGGATTAGAAATTTAGATGTATGAAAGGCACTGCAGTCCTCAATCTCCTAATTCGTGACGAAGTACCTAAAACGTTAATTCTAGAGTAGAAGTAACTCGCAAATTCGTTACAATCCAAAGAGCGGCAGAAACGTCGGAGAAAACAGGAAGTGCATCTGGAGTGCTCGTGTCTACGCACGTGGGAGAAGTAGAAGGATACTTCGAATGTCCTCAAGATTGCAGCAGTGACCAAGCGATCGCGAGATTTCTTTCACAATGCATAGCACAGAGATGGAACACTAGGCTTCGACGGGAGCAGAAGAGGTGGTTGGCATGCCTTTGACGGGGATAAATGCCTGGCTAAGCACTGCGGTCGATCACGTCTTCCGGCGAAATGATTTGAAACTGGTTCACAGTGAGGTAATGAGACTTATTCCGATGAGCAGACTTTCTCCGCAAAAATAAATGTCGTCGGTTTTTGAGCTACTGTGGCGCGTTAAAAGATCGTGCTTCAATGGTTGTCAGCTGGTGGGATAACGTGGCCGCCAAAACAGAGGACCATGTTTAAAGGGCTCATTTAGGTTGCCGTATCGCGGCAACCCTCACTGATACGGCGTCCGACTTATCGCAACCTGTTCCATGGGACTTACAGAACAATCAAGGGTGTATCAGGCTTACGTGCGGACCAAGTTTTAGGCAGTCACTGCGTACTAGTCAAGTTCCGGCGGTTTAGGCCGATGTGTGTGTGGAAATAGGTGGCAAAGCAGTGAATGAGGCCGATGACAGCTGACCCCTATCGCATTTCTCATCCTGCGGTTCTGGCTGGGTATTCTGTTACCTACCGATGCAGTGGAATACCATCTTTTGGCACCGCCGTGGGGGTAAACAACCTGATCGGGACATTAAATGTAAATGTCGTCCGTAACATACTAGGTAGTAAGAAATAGGGAAAACTGTCGAAGAAAGCACAAAAGGTAGGCTAAAGTTGTGGGCAGCTACGTACTCAGGACTTCGAGAAGGCGATCCACGTCCACTGTGAGAAAGTTTATAATTTGCCCTGCCGTGTAGTCCCCTCGAGCTTCCGAAGAAAGTTTCAAGGTCTAGATGACGAGGGAGAAGGTTCGATAGACTGTCGTATCAATGTCATGAACAGAGCGTCAGTACAATTACAATAACCCCCTCGGCACCTCCTTCAGAACAGCAGTAGAAAAACGTCAGGAAGTTTGCGAGCCTCGGAGAACGGTTGAAGAGCAAAAGCAGACGAGGTGAATCGATAAGCACATAAAACTCTGACGTGGGTGGATACACGATACTGCTAACAAGGGTGTTGGCCGACGGGCCCCGGAATGTGTTTCGCTAGCGTTGCGTCGCTGTATTATGCAACGTGTTTTCAAGTAAATACCACCTTTTTCAGGGTCAGCACTTTCAATTTTAATAAATATTAATACGGGAAGTTCAAATAAGTCGCCCGCGACAAATATCCACATTAACTCTCGGACTGAATAATGTACACAAAGTTTGCACGATGGTTTCTGGAGATCGCATAGTTTGTGCTTTTTTTACTTCAGTAAGGACCGATAGTAAACACCAGCAGTAGCCGAATTAACTGCTCCTAACGAAATTCCTACTTTGTGTATGCAGTCAAAGTGCTGTTTTGTAAACGCCTAAGTTTGGGTTGCTGCAGGTTCCTTCCACAGGGGCAAAAGTTGCAGACGCAGGATACTTTTGTGAGAAACTTCCGCTTTCGAGATCGCAGCAAACCCCAACCTATTGATTCAGTTCAGTTGTCTGACACAAAGAGTAAGGAGTATTTGCTCGGCTGATAGCATTGAGGAAGAACTTAAGATTGTCGAAAATTTCTTTCGCCAGAACGGATACCCCGATCGATTCATTGCCAGGTACATGACCGAAAGACCACCAAAACTCCTGATGCTGACGGCAGAAAAGAAGAAACTTTTCATCAGGGTCCCATTTCAAGGGGAAATTTCAAGTGAAATTCTAAGAAGGCACCTAACTCAAACTGTATCACAGACCTTTCCAGCAGCTGAGGCCCGTGTACTCTTCTGCACTAGTCCCATCCTACGCAGAGAGGGCAAGGACAAACTGCCAGCCCAGACCAGTTCTATGTGTATTTACTCCTTGACCTGCTCCTGTGGGCAGAATATATTGGTCGCACGAGCCGGCGTTTGTCCAAAAGAATAAGAGAACACCTTCCAGCATGGTTAGGGAAGGGTCAAATAAAGAGCGTCAACAGCTCTGTCCTCGTCCACATGGTAGACACAGATAACTGTGTAAATACCGGACAGGCATTCCGAGTGCTTTACAAAGTCCCATCAAGCTATCCAAAATCACTTAGACAGCGTCTGTTGGCAACTGCAGAGGCGGCTGCAATCAGGCTATACAAACCAGTTTTATGCGCACAAAAGAACTTCGTACAGGCCCCACAGTTACCATAGGCCAAGTCCACTATGCCAGCCACCTGCGTAAAATTACCCGTCCCAGTGCCCGCCATCCTCCTCGCCCCCCTGATACTGACGGTAATTTTGTTTTTCACCTCACCCACCCAGACCCTCCCCTGCCCCCAAACCCCAGCTACAGAAAAACTTCTGCTTGCCTGCATTTTCTTTTTAATCACTTCGATAGCAATATAAATGTATAGGCCTGATGAGAAATTATCGAAAGCTTACGTTTGTTCGCCAAATTGTCTTTTGAATTTTTCAATGGGAATTTTTGCAACTCTAATTTACTTAAACTGTAAAACATGCAACATATTCAGAGGGCTTAGCAACCTTCCAGCAGGATGACGAAAAACTGGGCAGAGACTTATGACATGAAAACAAGAACGATGACCACAAACCTTTCGATAAATAGCAGCCATCAGGGCTGACTTCGCCGAAAGTGCAGCCGAGAAGCCCACGTAGAAGCCCTGGTTAAACAGGAATGAACTGATAAAGGTGCCGAGGAAGAATCCACTGGCCAAGACATAACCGTACCAGTTGGGGTAGGTGGACTCACTGGCGAGAAAGCGTAGCAGGGCACTGGAAGTCCATTGAGAAAAACCAGAGTAAGTTAGTAGGCTGGGAAAAGGTTTAAGAGAAAATCCAAAAAAACGAATCGGTAATTTAATGGCAGGAGGTCATGGGGGGCTGTTTGAGACTAAAACAATCGGTAGCCGCGTACCCTATCAATTCTGATCTAATATGTCTCTCACTTTGCCCTTAATGACGAATTTTAACAGCAGCTGCGGCTGACAAGATCATCGGATGTCTGTTGCGGGCGTTGGAGCTGTAATTCTTGCAAATGGAGAGCCAGTATGATGTCAGATTTATGTTGGGTTAGTAGCCAACTTCCTTAATTTACTGTTGCTTGTTCACATTGTGCGTGTTGACACCCCCGACAAAATGATCTTAGTTTTAAGAAAACCCCATATGAGCCTAACGTAGTCCAGTTAACAATGACTCCAGAGAGGGAAAACATCCAAGAAGAGACCGAATGTGCCATCCAGTTTCCTCATGGTGTAGGAGATGCCTTCAGGCTGTGTCGATCGCCTTGCTTCCGATTTGCCTAAATTAATGGCTATCACTACGGCTAGTTTACTGGAGTACGCAGTTTACGAGATGACGAATAGACATACCCAACTCCCTGCTGTGCATCACCATTTCGTCTGTATCCAAAACCCAGTTAAGATGCCCTCAAGGCTGTGAGCCATTAAAAGCCGTTCATATTTCGCCTCGATGTATTTAATTACTTCAACAGTCAGTATCCCTCTAGCGCTCCACAATCAACTATTCTATCACCAACACTTCTTCCGTGGCCTTCGGTAGACGTGACAAGTAGTATCTCAAATCCCCAAGCCCATGCTGTTTAGAGGACGTAAGCGAAAAGAGTCAAGTTCTTTGTCCAGAAGTTTTTGGTTAGCGAAAGTCCACGTGGACGACTTACGTAATGGCTCAAAGGAGTAAAAGGTTTCTATGCATATCAATAATAATATAGATTGATTGATGATGACATTCAACCACCTGCCACGAGAATGCGGATGTCGAACTGTACAGGAGGATATATGAAGGAAAAGGCATTCTCACAAGTCAGGCATTGGCGACGACTAATCCTGCAAGCTGTTGCTGCTCGCCCTATCAACTGCACACTGTCTAAAGAATAAACAAGATACGTGCATCCAATCGCATCCAGAATACTCTCAGTCTCCAGACCTGAATTCTGCTAAAAAGTTTAGGACTGCCGAAGCGACCGGAAATATACACGCACTACCATCCACAGAGTAATGCCCTTCGTCGATGACACAAACAACGGCAACTGACGCTTCCAGTGATTTCTATCTCCTCTAACCTGTGTGCTGACAAGCAAACGTAGCACGAAGTAAGTCATCAGTAAAATAAGTAATACAAGAATTTAAAAACACACACAGATTTTACCTCAAGAGAAGAGGACTCGTGTAGACGGTGAAAACGCGGATAAAGTGACAGATCCAGCAAACCATGAGCCTCGGACCGAAGGCCCTACATATGCTTTTCACCAATAAAAAGGCGTACTGACGGCCCTCGGGGTGGATGTGATCAACCTCCTTATTTGCGTCCGAAAGCTCCACTTGCGATACGTCGCCATCGTCCCCACCCGGACAGAGTGCCAGGGTTGATGAAATCGCCTGTGTCTCCGACAACAGTGACTGGTTTGAATCGTCTTGGTCGTTGTTGCTGGTGGTGCGGTTGGAGGTCTGAGCTGGCCTTTCCACATCAGCAGTGTCGCTGGTGGTGAAACATCACCCACCGAAGGCGTAAAAAGACATGCAAAATGAGTATGCCCAAAATATGAAATGTCGGAAAAATATTACTATTATTGGTCGCACGAGTCGGCGCTTATCCAAGAGAATACGCGAACACCTCCCGGCATGGCTGGGAAAAGGCGAAACGAGGAGTATAAGCAGCGCAAATCTCGCGCATGTTGTCGATTCCGGACATCGTGTGGACCCCAACGAAGCTTTTCGTGCGATTTACGAGGTCCCATCGAGCTACCCTAAGCTACTAGGCCAGCGCCTGTTAGCGACAGCGGAAGCGGCCGCCATTGGGTTACTAAAGCCAATCTTATGCGCACAGAAGAACCACGTTCAGGCTCCGCGCCTACAGTGGTCGAAGGTCTACTAACGGTGCAACTCCCCCGCGCACTTCCGCCCTCAACCCGCCCCTCACAATGACTACTATTACCCTCCCCCCCCCCTTCCCCCACATTCCCCCACCCCGCCTGCGTTTTAAGAACTTTTATCGATTTCTCTTATCGCTGACCTGTTTTACCTCTACCCCGTTCTGTACTGGCCCGACGAGAATTTAGCGAAAGCTACGTATGTTCGCCACCTCGTCTTCTGATTACTGCTATGGGAATTTTCGCAACTCCAATATTCATCAAAATTAAACGTAGATAAGGTAGATGTGGAATCTCGTGAAACGTTAATCGAAATTCTGAAATGCGTTTTCGATTCAGAAATGTTACTTAATTAGGGTTGTAACATTCGTTCTTTTGGAGCATAATCCCAACATATATCAGTCACGTCGGGGAGCTGGCTTCAGAATGCTCGCATTCCTGACCGCCTGCGTAAACTGCACTGTACATGTTTTGATTGATTTCCCGTGCACTTATAAATTCAAAAATATTTTATGGAAAACATGGCAGAAACATTTATTCCAGCTGCCATTCAGAAAAAATAAGTCTATCTTAAATGTTATGCTTGCTTAGAGGAAATCGTTCGGTTTTTAGAAGGGTGGAGTAGCAAAAGTTATAAAGCCAGTAAAAGTCAGTAGGGGGTAAGGGGGTTTGGGGGAGGCGTTCAGAGGTCAGGAGTCAGAGTATAATTCTGTTAGGGGTTTGAAGAGGGGGATGGGAAAGGTGTCTGGCTATCAGCTGTCCCTGCCTTATAGCTGTAACTCGACGCGACAGATGTAAACACACGAAGAGCATCAATGAAAATGACATTTTAAAGCAGTATTGCCTATCTTCCGTGCATTCTGTCCCTTGTCTTTATGGCACGTAAAATGAACAGGAAAGAAATCTGAAATTTTAGAAAAAAATTGTTATTTGTTAAAATTAAACATAGATAAAGTAGATGTGCTATCTCAGGAGATGTTAACCGTAATTATGAAATGCGTCTCCGACTCGAAAGCATTACTTAAATAATATTATTATCTTCATACTCGTGCAGCACGTGTACACGTGGCATTCGGACGTAAAAACTACACACCGAAAGCTGAAGACTTAAAGGGTTTACTATTTTCCCACAGAATTCCCATGTGCTGATAAATCCAAATAATGATATCCTCTTTAAATGTGATATTTGAAGAAACAGTACCTTTCGGTCTTGTAAGACTTTTTCAGTTTTAAATAATTTAGAACCCGACCTGTCATTACACTTGCGCTGTGAGTTCCCAAAGTACAAGCTGTATGCTTTCCGTACAGGAAAAATCATACATCCGACTCATAAAGTTTTACCATGAACATAAGGCTTTACGAATCGGCATATAACGGTCTAAGAAAACCGGATGATTATGAACTTCTTTAAAGCTGAAAAATATCCTTACCTTAAACAACATTTGAAGGAGATGTAATTTTCTACCCGATGAACAAAAAACAGACACTCCTATGCTTGTTTTCTACAAAATATATTCGAATTTGTAAAAAATGAAAACATTTACTACTTAAGCAGTAATTTTTTTACGGAATGTAGTTCTTACAAGCGACCAGAAAGGAGTGCATTTTAAAGTTGGTACCCTGACGTGACTTCAGCACCCTGAGATGATGTTGCATGAGGGTGGAAATTACAATATTTTAAAATGATATTTTCAAATCAAAAGCGCATTTCCGAAATCCGACAACTACTTCATGAGATAGCATTTCTACTGTATATATATATATATATATATGTGTTGGATAATCTCAATGGGAGCATCTCAAGGGTGTTTTCGATGTTCACGTGGACATTTTCAAACGCTACCTCATGACAGAATAATTCAGGTAGTTGGCAGTTTTAAGCTGAACTGAAAGGGTAATAATCTGAACAAATGCCCTATCTAGAAAATGTACGAGATTCTTATCTGAAAAGCATGGAAACCTTAAATATATATTGGCCCTGATTTAATGTTGATTACAAGCTTCCTAACCTGGTAAAGAACCAGTTCAGTACGAAGATCACGATGAATCTGTGTCTGGAACGGCAGACTGTGGCAACTAGACCATGCAAGGTTACGATATGAGCTTCAGTTAAAGTCTCAATGTGGAAACCATTAGTTAAGGAGGACGGGAAAATGAGGTGTTATTGCTATTCAGAGTCAAGTAATGACGTAGAAGGAAAGATGGGGAGCGATTGCTGACGGTTGCAGGGTTTCATTCTTGACGCCAAGACAAATCACCGCGTTCGACGAAAGCAACAATAACAAAAGCGAAGACAGGCTGGAAGTGCATCAAGTAACTCATCACAAATTATCCAGTTCGCTTACGTTTGTTTTTGACTAGGCGTCTACACAAAGCCTATTCATTTTGTCGGAAATTAGAGGGAGCCGAATCTCGACGGAAATAAAACGCCCAATAGGACTCCTTTGAAATACGCATAGGACGCAAAAGGTGTTGAGGTCATCTACAAAAGTCAGCCTCTATCGCGCTTCAGCCAGGCGCGTTTAATGAGCATTCGAAAAGTCTCCGACTAAAAGTTTCCTTTAAATAAAGAAACCCTTGGTTTGAAAATAGGAACAGACGCATCCAAACTGGTATTGGGGTAGACCATCAAGCAGAGTGATTTAAAGCAGTGTTAAGAGAGAGGGAGAGAGAGAGAGAGAGGCATACCTGTCCAAGTTCGGCACTTCCCCTAGTACAAGGCGTCCGCTGCGGCCAGATTTGTAGTAATCCCATGCGTGCATAAAGGCATGACAATTATGGGAGGCTTGAACATGAAGTGGCATCAGGAAGGCGTCCTTAGCGCATTCAAATCTGCCGCGAAATGCCGTCCAAATAAGGCTAAAACGGAACCACAATGCCTTAGACAAACTTCTCACGCGCTACACATAAGTGGCAAAATATCAGGCGCGTCTTTGTAGTTTGGCAGCATTCCCACGCTAGCGATAATCACCAGCAAACCCAAATAGGCTGCGAAACTGGAGGTGAAACAGTTGTGAATACGCTAATTAATTAACGTGATACAGTCCTGAATTAGGCTTATTTCCTGCCGTCAGGAATTTTCGCTTTTATTGAGTGTTTATCGGTGCGGACAGACTGAAGAAGGAACCCTCCGGTATCGATTTAATGGCACAAATCACGTGAGCATGTGTGAAGGTGGTTATACATTGACTATAAATACCCGACTTAGATACTTGCTCATTGATTAATTCTGTATTTGCCTCTCTTGACATAGACCAAAGTGATAGCCACCGGGGGATGTACAGGAAGCCAGGCCAATAAGATCCAATAATGTTTTGCTTTTGATACTATTGTTTATCACAATAACCGGCTGGACCGACGTCAGTGCACACAATATTGTAAACAGATGCAATTAAGCACTATGATCTACGTACGGCCCATAATCTATATCGGACATTGGAGACAGGATCTTGAGTGTTACAAAGGGTTTGGGTGCAGAATTCAGCATTTGCTCACTGGACTCCTTATTGGGTAAGAACTTTTCAGATTGGTAGAAAAGCCACCCATGACGGAGCTACAGTAGCAGTGTCATCTCTTGAAATGTTCACCTAAATTCCGAAATGCGTTTCCAACTCGAAAAGGTCACCTAAGCAGGGTTGTCATTTTAATTATCATATTGAATTATTTTAAAATATTCCAGTCACGTTAGGGTGCCAGCTTTCATAAACGGTGACTATTTAATAAGCATTAGTTATTCCCACTGATTTTTTGTGCCCTTAAAAATTCAAATAAATTGTATAGAAGACGTTCACAAAAATTCACTTTCACCCAACTGTGAACAACTAGGTGCCTCGGTGGGATACGAACCCACGACAGCAAGGACAGGCTTCAGTACAGTCAACGCTCTAACCACTTGAGCTACAAGGCCCCAACGGACGACGCGAGTTTAATCACATTTGGGTCGAGTTTACCCGCTCCACCTACTGCAACGACTGGAGTCCACAAAGCTGATACAGTAAGCTGACTCCCCAAGTAAGATCTCCTAAGTAATTTACCTAGAATTCACCAGATGACTACTAAGCTGACGTAATTCAGAGGTGTTTCGACAGATTTCAAATAATTCACTTTGACCCATTGAGGCGCTGAGTTTTTCACAGTTGGGTCAAAGGGGATTACTTGAAATCTGCCAAAACACCTTTGAAATGCAGTATTCTTGCTTCAAAGATTGATCAGTTGAACTAAACAAGGTTCCCCACCTGATACAAATGATTTAACGTAGAGGGCATGAGTATGTATGAAAGGACTAATGATGTTTTGATGATGAGGATGATGATGATGGTGGTGGTGATGGTGGTGGTGGAGGTGGTGGTGATGATGCTGATGCTGATGCCGACGCTGATGCTGATGCTGATGATGCTGATGCTGATGATGCTGATGCTTATGATGATGACGCTGATGGTGCTGATGCTGATGATGCTGATGCTGATGATGCTGATGCTGATGATGCTGATGCTGATGCTGATGATGATGGTGGTGATGATGATGATGATGATGATGATGATGATGATGATGATGATGATGATGATGATGATGATGATGATGATGATGATGATGATGATGATGATGATGATGATGATGATGATGATGATGATGATGATGATGATGATGATGATGATGGCGCTTTGGCACACTGAATCATTTAGGCCTACCTGCTTGAAGCATGCGAACTGCGGACCAACGACACATATTTCTCGCTGCATAATGCCTCAATTAATATAAGTTTAAGGAACTTAATATTTTATGGTTTATTTACACGTCAGAATTCTGAGCTGGACCGCACGTCATAGGAAATTTACGATAAACCCATGTTTTCATTATGGCAAAGGCGTTTATTTTTGCTTTGACAGATTTCAACTAATTCACTTTGACCCAACAGTGAAAAATTCGGTGCCCTCAGCTAAGTGCGTATTTACGTATTCGGTTATAAAAGGAAGCATGTGTAATGATTTTAGCGCAAAAATCGAATTTTCGCAGGGAAACACCGTTCTAAAAAAAATAATACCGGTCTTCATGCAAAACGATTCCGAAATATAAAAAACATCAATAGTGCTTGCGCAATTCTACGACAAATCGGTTGGTCGTAACGTTTAAAAAAGAACACCAAACGCCAAATGTTGCTTGATTCCATCCAAGCAAGTATGCTTCCGAAAACCTATTAATTAAAATAATTTGGTATTTTTACGAGGTAATAGGGAGGCATCTAGGAGTGACATGCTGAAAACCATCAAAGTTCGCTTGGGCTGTGGAGTAAGAAAGATTTGGTAGCTTCTCGCAGAGTTCCAGAAAGACGGACCCTGGGAAATTGTACAACCTCATCGGAAAATTGCTTTTAATATGCAGGGGCAAATTTTCTCCATTCCCATAGCATGAGGGGAAAAAGAGGGTTGATTTGGCAAGCGTTTTTTCATCAGTCAAACACAAGGCGCATGGACTCATGCAAATGTGCTCGTGATCAATGAAAATGCAGAAATTACACAGGCTGAATTAGGAGACGTTTCTTTCAACCGCAAGGGTCATGAGAACTCAGAAAAAGTAAAAAAGCCTCACGGGGTTATCCATTCAAAAGTCAGCCGGGATGGCACAGATGCCCAGTATTCCGGGGACAGAGTCTGTAAGACCAAAACAGAAGATTGATAATCGATCGGACGTAAAACTTGTTTAATCAAGCTGGACTAAGAGGCTCTCAAATGCAGGCAAGCTTCTTCCAAAACACAAATACAAAAAGTTGGATAGGCAAGAAGTAAGTTCCAATTGCGGTGGAAATAATGTCAAAACACCCCGCTACCATACGATAAGGCGGACGGAATTGGCAAGTACATTCGTTCAAAATGTGACTCTCCTGATTAGATTAGAATTTTTAGCAAACTTGCAAGGTACTGCAAGATAAGTCAGTCAACTTTATGCTGATTATCTATATTAAACTTCGTGTCTCGTCTGACTGCCGGCTGCCTAAGCAATCAAAAGGAGAAATGTCTGTAGATTCATAAGTTCAGAATTTTCCTTCGAAACATGTTGGCCGAAATCACGAAGGCAAATGAAGGACACCTCAGACGTTGTGCATTTTACTTAATGGCTTAGCGCGCATCGCGAGGAGACTGCCGTTCATGTGGACTATTCTTGTAGATTATTTGGGATAAAAACTGTCATTAACATAGACCCAGGTGACTGCGCTCATAGCAAATACATCAGAAAATAACTGCGTACTCATGCTTGTGCCCTTAATAAAGGAATTTTGAATAACACAGGAAATGGCATGCCCGCAGTTGCATTTGCTAGTCAGTAGCCAGCACTTGCACATGTGAGCTAAGGGAAGATATTATTCACAGCTATTTCCAAGAAGTTATTTCCATAAAGGCCCCTTCGACCTAATAAACCGTATCTTACAAAATACGAAAAACAAACGTATTAAAGCACGCTCCTGCGTATTACGGTAAAAAACTTCCCTGGTTGGTTAACATACAATATATTGCGTTAGGGGTAAAAAGATAATTGACAAAATAGTAAGGTAAATGATTTTGCTAAATGTTTATTTGCACACTGTGCTACACTTAGTCATTGATTTGCATGGCTATGCAAAATGCACTTTCATAAATTCATTACCACCCATCCAAAACTAGGTTGCGTTTTTTGTTTATGTACTTTACTCCAAAAAAACGTATTTTAACAAACAGAACATTAATCTCAATATTCTTTTTATGAATTTAATCCGAGTTGCGTCCGGAAGGTTTTGAAGCTGACAGATGCTTGTAGTATATCACCATATAATGTATCATATTTGCAATTGCTGTAGATAACCAAGGATGGTAATGACGGTCGGCATAATGGTGTAAGTATTTTCCTCTAAGCGCCTACCTGTAGATTCTGATTATAAAAGTGGTTTTTGTAAAATTCACTTTGGTGTAGTTTTGTTACATTTGGATTATCAATTATCCGGTAATTGCAGAATAACTGAATTTGGAAACGAATTCCAATTTATTAAGATTTCGAGTGCAAGTGCGTTTCCTCCAGTATGCTCGTCAATACGAATCTACTCTGTGTTCATTCTCAATCATGACAGGGTTGTTATAGAAAGAAAATTCTGTCAACTCATCAAAACAGACTGTTAGAACAAAATATCTAAACATTCTCGATAATCACTGTTAAGAAAAGTGCACGATTTAGAAACCATGATAAATTCTGGAACGACATTCAAGGTTTTAGGTTGGCTAAATGACTTGCACAGCGTAAAGATTAGCTTATCAAAACCTGCAAATCTACGCCTAATGATGACAGAACCTTTGACAGTAAGAGCTTACGTGTTTTCCTTATTGTAAATAGGGGTACTCAAAATAACTCTTGATATTAAAACCAAATAAATAAAGGGAACTGTGTTCGGGCAAGCAATTAATCAGGGTCAAGAAAGTATTGGCGTGAGAGGTAGCGTTGTAACTCGACCTGTAGCTGCCACTGTCGTTAGCAGTGGTGAAACAATGATGAACACAAATTTTATTCCTTCCATCTTAAATAACACTGTCCACAAAATGTAACATTTGAACAGACGAACATCTTCATTGACTGACTGTTATAAAGCTGGTAAACCGCAGCATCGTGAGTGCTTGAAAATTGTCCTCGTAGAGACAAATAGATGAAAAATACGACATCCACCAAAGAACTCACTTTGTCCTGATAAAAGCTCAGTGGTCTCACATATGATGAGAGAAACTGCAAAATGAATATAGTGGACAGAACGGCCACAAACAGGCCTGCCGACAGTTTCTGGCACTTCCGCAATAGACGCTCACTCTAAAGTACAAAATGTTTTGAGAATATCACGAAGGACGATTAACTTAGAGAATTAAAAGGGAGAGGAAAGACGCTTAATATTATATAAAAATATTATAACTTGACGAACATTGCTTGACTGCTCAGAGTATTCGCACAGTCGCGGAATCGAGACCATAAGGAGAGAGAGCCAAAAGAAAAAGATGACTGTCGATTGGACGCAACGATGAGATCGCCGAATTTCATCAATAATTAGTACCAAAACCTAAAAGAGAAAACAAGACGAGAAAATTGCGTTGTTTAGGGATTTTGATTGAAAAATTGTAGAGAAACGAAAATCAATAATTAAGTTTTGCAAAATAAGTGATAAGAGTACAAGGGAGCTTATGAACTTAAATAAGTGTCTAGAAGTAAATAATATAGCTAGAAACACGTATTAACGACTAAGAATAATAAACGTAAAAGCTTGAATAGATTTGTTAAGCAACACTCATTCCCAAATTATTCGCTCAGAACTAATTCTAATTACGTGACGGAAAGCAGACTTTCGGTATACAAAAAGATCTACCTTCATTAAGTCGGAACATTAATGACTTATGCCATCTGAGAAGTGATTTCTCTCTTTTTACGCCCCGTGAACTGTTTAGAGTTGTTTAAATGATGTGACACTTTTTGAGCGGCCCTAAGATGATGAGGGTGTATCTGCGCGTCGGAAAAATGGTCGGTGTCCTTCGCTCTCTCTACCGTCGACCCCATTGCCACAATTCGCCGTAACATTCGCTTCTATCTTTCTTTCTCTCTCTCTCTCCCTCTCTCTCTCTCTCTTTCTACGCCAGCACCTCACTCGGCCCTCCATTGCAGTTGTCCAAAGTGCAGCGTTCCACAACCGTTGTTTGGCAGGCCTTTCAGCGTCTCCTTACCATCTAGGCAGGTCACTCCCTCTCTGTAACTCATCCTGTTTGCAAAAGTAACCACTAATAAATGTATCCCTGGTTCCTATCTCTTCCCACTACACCTTTATGTTTTCCTAACGTTTCTTCTTCCCTTTTGTATGGATGAGTATCGTGACGTGTTAACAACCCTGTCTAGATCACCCTTAGTTAGGATTTACTCCCAGCGTTTTTCTGAATCGGTGTGTGCTATCCTTGACGTCTTCGGCCGCTACACACTCAATGGAGCACTGATCAGTACATCATATCAACTGATATAACTTGAACGAATAATACTGAGGTCCCTTACTGGTGATTCGCTTGTTCTTTTGACTGCGTAGCTTAAATGTCTAGGTCAAATTTTTTTCCGTCTTAGATTTTTCTGTTAAGAAAAAAACAGACAGAAACGCAAGAAACAAAAACACAATCACACATTAATTTACAAATATTTCTAAGATGAACGAATTTTCTGAACTCAATACGTCTCACATTTATCTTTCGAAAGGTTAATAAAATATAAAACCAGATGCAAATATTTGACGAACCAGCGAAGTCATGACTACTGTCGGCGAGAGATAGGCCAAGATATCCCGAAAGTTGGGTTCCTCGACGTCTTCAACTATTTTAATAGTTACATCAAAAATATTCAAGGCAAGCAAACACACAATTAATACCTACAACGGAAAATGTTATTTAAAAATTCAATGAAACACTCACCCGTTCAAGCATGTACTTTACAACATTAACTGTGCGCCATACTGGACACTGGGAGCGTTTTGCTGAGGGAAATAAAACTGGCGACAATAATATTAAGGCAGCTGACGGCAGACAGAAGACTGTCCATTGAAAACATGGAGAAAACGTTGGAACTGGTTGCCAAAATAAAGACGCATTCTAAGAAATTGGATGAATATTTTACTACGGCATACGAGGAAACCAGATGG